TCCTTTAAAAATGGCTTGCCAAAGGAAGGCATTCCAGGTCCTTCTTTCTTGTGTGTGAGAGACAGGGTTTCACTATGTAGTCCAGGCTGGCCCTGAGCTCGTTGTGATGCTCCTGCCTCAGCCTCCAGAGTGCTAGGATCACAGGGGAGGGCCTCCACACCCGGCCTCCCAAGCCATCTTGTATTGAACAAAGAACTGGAAGAGAAAAGCCAGAAGTTTATTTGAAAAATGAGGGGTGAAAGGGTTAGAGAAAAACTGGCTCTGCAGAGCGAACTTGGGCCGAACAAAAGAGGAAAAGAGAAAAAGAGAAAAAATAAAAGTACACCATGGGCCTGCGCAACCCAGGACTGGTCAGACTGGTCACTATGAGGAGTCATACAGTGGGCTCCTCCTGGCCTCTGGTCCCCTTTGTGCCGCCCACATCTTGTGGAAGCCAGGGAGAAGTTCTACACAGGAGTCCTAGGAACTGTCTGGCTCTGCCCTGGGATCCTGAAATTGACAGGTCCTGCCCACTTCTCCAGCCAGCTTCACCTCTGGCCCCAGCACTGAGGAGAGAGGATGCCGGGAGTTGAAGGCAAGCTGGAACTACATAACAAGACCCTGTAGATAGATAGGTAGGTAGGCAGGTAGATAGATGGGTGGATGGACAAACCATTCCCATACTGTGGCATCTTGGAACCTGAAGCGGAAGGAAAAATTACTGAGTCTATCTTTATTTGTTTATTTTTGCAGGATAGGGAATTGAACCTAGGGCTTTTGTACTAAGCTATACCCCTGCTTTTACAAAAAAAAAGTGTTAATAAATGGTGCTGGAAAAAACTGGCTTTCTACATGCTGAAGACTAAAACTAGAGCCATGTCTATCACCATGCACTAAACCAAAGTCAGAATGAATCAAAGATCTAAATTTAGGGGGTGGGTAAGGGGAATCAAACTCAGAACTTCACACTTGCCAGGCAGGTACAGCGCCCCTGAGCTATATCCCCAGTCTCTAAAGGTCTAAATATTAAAACAGAAACAGTAAATCTACTGGAAGAGAAAATAGATAGAAATCTTGAAGACACAGGCATAGGCAGAACGTTCAAGAACAAAACCCAGACTGCAGGGGAAATACTTCAAATAATCAACTGGGATCTCACTAAAAAGCTTTTGCACATCAAAAGAAATCACCAACAGGATGAAAAAGACAACCCACAGAGTGGGAAAAATTTTAATCAATGGTACCACAGACA